TCCATTTCTTTTTTATCCAAATTTTCCATAATACCCAACAAAAATAGCTGAGGCTTAAACTTTATCTTTTTCTTAAAGACATTTTGAATGTTCCACCAAATCTTTATCCAAAATGCTTTAACCACCCTACAAGTCCACCACACATGAAAGTAAGTTGCATCTAAATTTCCACATCTCCAACACTTAGGTTGTAAATTAGGATACATACGAGACAATTTTTGAGGATCCAAATGCCACCTATAAAACATTTTGTAAAAGTTTTCTCTTAAATTCTGTGCTTGAGTAAATTTTACATTCCTAGTCCAAATTGTCTCCCATGTCTCCAGTAAGATCGGCTCTTCTATATTTTGAGCCCATTTTATCATACAATCCTTCACCAATTCTGTTTCCGAGTCCAATTCAACCAATACACCATACATTCTTTTTATATGAGCTTGAGATTGATCTCTAATCTGTTTGATCAAATTCACATCCTGTACTATAATACCAACTTTTTGATCCAAACTCCACCTCATAGACAATTGACTATAGTAAAACCATGCCACATTTGCTTTGACTGTACTGCACTGAATACTCTACAACATTATTTCTTACGATAATTACATAGAAAACTCCGAATTCTAAAATGGAATGCGTTATTCAGATCCACCTTTTTGCTCCCTCCCGTCCCCACGGGAAATTAATCCCTCTGGTCCCTTTCCCTACTCGATATCGGTGGGGGTGGGATCTCCCCCAATTTCTACCGCGAACAGAATGAGATCTTCCTTGGTATTAGCATGGATTTCTCTCTCCCCCGCCTCTCCATGCCCAAGTCCAGTGGCGGCGCCCCACATGGTATTGCCTATTTATTACCTGCACGCTCCTCAAAACCGCCGCCATGCTGCTCTGCAAAAGAACTGCTCTGCAAAAGATCAGCTCTCAAACTCTGCCTCCTAGAGAGGCGGAGGAGAAGGCGGAAGTAGCGAAAAGAGTAGGTTGGTTATCAACCAATGATAAGAGGCGTACGAAAGTCCTCCCTGATCTTGTTTGGTTTTATCCAGAACTGTTTATGCCAGGTCAGATCTCGATGAAGAACCTCTTAATTTGGTAAAAGAGCTGATTTTATCCTGGTTCAGGACGTTAGAGCGCAGCATAGGACGCTGTTCTTTTGCTCAGTCGCTCTCTCAGGGTGTGTAAAATTACAGACATTAAGAACTCTGAAAGAAACAGGTAGGTAGTTATGATGATGATTGAAGTGGACCTATTCTGACACTGGAAAACTATGCAAATTGGGAGCAGTTAGGTATTTGGGAAACTACAAAGCTAGACTAAAAAGTAAAAAATACCCTTTAAAAAGGTAGTGGCGATCTACTTGTATATTGGTGCCAAAAAAACCACATAGATGTGCCCAAAAAAGTAACCAGGAGTGGAGCTTACATACAAGTCACTCCCCATGAACCCAAGATTATGGCTGTGTAAATATTTCCATGTAATTGAATTATTTTTCTCAACAATATTAATGCCTAATAAGCTTATGGCTAAAGTTAACATAGTGGAAGCCATGACTTTTTTTTAATATATTTTAGGTGGTCCTATTACTTGTCATATGAACATGCATTTGTAACCCTATTTTACATTACATATCAGGGAGTGAAGATTACCTATAAATGTCAAACATGCTCTTAATAGCAAATTCAGATTTGTGCAGTATGTTCTCCGTTCTGATATCTTCCAGCTATGTACGAAACATGAAATTTTGGAATTATGGAAATTCAGGAGTTGGGAAGGATGGTATTAAACTTTTAAGAAAAATGTATGAGGGGGTCCTTGGTGCTCTCTGAGCTTGCTTGTTTTCTTGCAGACATTGGAGCTCTCTGAGCTTGTTTTCTTGCAGGCATTTCATTACCCTAACTAGGTAACATCATCAGTGCTAGAAAAATGTATATAAAACTTTATAAAAATGTATATTGAGATATTTAATGTACTGTAATATTTTTTCAGTTTTGCTTCATGACTCCTTGTAAAATTACCGTAGGTATTTGATAGCAATATTCACTCTTTAATTTGCTCAGTTGGAAAGAGGGCAATAGAGAATGACTAAGGTTGGTTCTAGAAATTACTAGGTTTAGTGTTAAGATAAACAACTTGGTTATCAATTTTACAATGATATTGTAAAGTTACCACATCGAAAGAAAAAAAATCCATGGTCAAAATTGCTTATAGGATTAGTTATGTTAATGGCTATGAAAGAACATAAAAAGGACAGAAAACTCTGGAAAATCAATATTTGCTCCCAAATGTTACTTATATGTAACTTATAAAGGAGACCGTAAATAAAATCATTAGTTAAGTCTACAAATTTCAGTCTGGATCATAACAGAAGTATCCAATCCAGAAGAATAATGCACTGCATCACTTACTGGCAACGCAGAAAAGTTTTTCTTTCCAAATTGCTTTTAGTTGTTGTTCGTGTGGACTGAGTGTTTTGTTCCATTTTATTCTATCTCATCAAACTCTCTAGTTTAAGCAGAAGTAGAAACAGGCATATCTTATCAGTCATCGTGTCACTGGTAAAATGTATAACTATAATCCAAATCATTCATGAAGTAGTATGGTAGCTGCAGCTTTCATTTACAATGAGTTTGTTCTATGCAACAGATTTCAGAAAATATAGATGTATTAATGACAGCTGCTATATTTGAATTGGTAAGCTGTAATATCTATCATTGATATAGAAGAATAGATTTTTCTAGTCAAGTATGCATAAAGTTAAAATGAAATAAACAATTATAGAGAACAGGATGTGCCAATAATAAATGCACTTAATTATTAACACTAGTTTCGTGGCTAGTGAATAATTTATTATTGTTGTTGTTAACTAGCCATGAAGCTCCAACACACATACTTAAAAACAAAACTCTGCAGTCATGCGTTGTATTAACACAAATTATAAAAGACAACCTTTCAAATGGTAAATGTATCGAGCTGTGGAAATGAGTAAATTTATTATTTTGCCTTGTAACCAATTTCTGAATTTTCAAGCAGTCAGATGTATTTTTCAGGATGTATTACATATCCTCAGTTGCTCCACTTTAATTCCTAGGGAGGAAAAATCCAATGGAATTGTCTTTCCACGGTGAATCATTTCAGAACACAGAAAAAAGATTGCATGTTTATATGCTTCCCAATACCAACCTTCTCATATACAGTACTTGAAATACTAGCATCTCTATGAGAAGTTGAAGTTACAATAGTTCATCCTAATGACCTTATCTCCACACATCAAAAAAACATGCAAGCATATTTATTCTGATGCTCAAGAATTACTGTATTATCCTCCCACTTAAAGATGCTAAATGCAGTTTACTCCATAAAAAGACCACATCAAACCATTTCTAACAAAGTTATCAGATCCAGGCTTTTTACATAAGGAATGCATTTCTTAATATTTCTTTTTAAAAAGTACTATTCTACTTTACTATTTAAAAATTACTGTTCTAAGTTACTGTTTTTTACCACCAAGATTCCTGGTGTTCTGCAATTATAAGAGTTTACAATATGTTTAGATTTTTGAGTTCTTTAGTATTGAACGTATTATGTATCAGCATGAAGTACCAACAACTCAGAGGAAAAAATTCTATACAGGTAGACCATGCTTAACAACTGCCCTGTTTAGCAACTGTACAAACTTACAACAGGGCTGAAAAAGTAACTTTATGACCAATCATTTATAACTGTTGCACTGTTCCTGCAGTCATGTGATCAAAATTTGGGTGTTCCACAATTTGGGGGGGTATTTACAATTGTCACAGTGTCCCACTGTCTTGTGATTGCCATTTCTGTGCTTTGCAACTAGCTTATAACAAGTAGAGTCAATGGGGAAACCAACAGTAAAATTGCAAGTTGCTGTGATGCAGCTACTCTTAAAACCTGCATTGATTTGCTTAAACTGAATGGGAAGTGACATTGTAAGACCCTCATAGATATGTTTCACTTAGCAATGATGTTGCTTAGCATCCAAGTTACTGATCCCAATTGTGATAGCTAAGTGAGACTACCTGTAATGCAAAATATATTCACTTTTTTTCTTTTATAATTCATATTCTTCCTTCACTATTTACTCCATGCCAGTTCCCCTGAACAGAAACAAAACTCCCATTTTAGAGTAAAGCATATACAGTATAACTTGTCTGTATACCCTCACTTACATAGGCATTATGAGCACAGAATATGAGGCTTTAGATGTCCAAAATAAAAGAGTCACACACCAAATTGGAAAGCGCTTGGTACGTTAAGTGCTTTTTTTTATAGTAAAAAAAAGTACAAAGTCCTGATACGAAATATACAAAAAAATCAGCCAAGGAAAATGGTTGCCTTTCTACAAATATCAGTAGCATTGCATAGAACAGCCTCTGTGGGGTATAGGGAATGGGCAAATCCAACTGGGTATGATGCTTTAGGAACATTGCTAGGAAATTGTCTGCAATTATACATTAAGTACATTGGAGAATAAAATCACATATACACGCTGTTGCTAGAAACATCTTGCCATTGCTTTCATGAACTGGAGCACTGGAGAAAATATCAAACACAAGAATAAGCCATCATCACAGCCCTTCTCCTTGCATTAACAACTCCAAGGAAAATACTGTGCATCCAGACAGCTATTATTGCTTCAGCTAAGCCAATGGGTGCAAGGTTGCCAATTTAGATCAACGGGAGCTATTACAAACTAGGTTAGATGGCAGAGCCCTGCATTGGCGATGGATGAGTCCCAATAGGTTAGGCCCTACCCTCAATGTGGAAAAAGCAAGGCTGGGATTATGTTTTGATGGCATGAGGCACTGGTCGGCCGCTAGCAGGCATACTTAAGCTAAAATATATACAGGGGGAGTAGAATCCTTATAAGCAGAAGTTCAAGGAAGGTGCGAAAAGCCAGCAGCTTAATAATGCTGAATGGAAAAAGGAAACCCTGAGCTGTTTTAAAAAGGCCTCTGGGCAAACAAGACCCTGAGTAGCCACCAGGGGACAGGGCAAATAAGCATACAGCCCCCACACAGGCAGGTAGGAGATGCTAAGCATCAAACAATTAAGGGGGTGCTTGCACATAGTGCCCCCAGAAGGGCAGAGAGAGAAATGCAGTCAATACAATAAATAAAGATACAAAATAATCTAAGTGACCGCTGCTGATACACCCCATCTTTTGCCATGTCCAAGTGCAATTGGTCAGCATCAAAGTGCCACTGAGGTCCCTATAGGAAAGTCCAACCAGATACACTGTTCTTTTATAAGCTAATCTAGCCATCTTCTTCCACCTCGGAATCCTTCCCATCTGGCTCCTCTCGGGAGGACTTGGATCCAGCAATATCATCTTCTTGGCCACTTAATACCTCTTCCACCACTTCACCTGTGTTAATAAATAAGATATGTCAAAATTTGAAACAGATGATGAAAAATACTCCCTTTTTGCCCATGTTTCCAATATTTAATTGACCGAATCCCAAGACTTGCCCTACAAAATGTAACACTGCAACATCAAAAGTTCCTCAAAGAACTGGATTATCTGGAGGATCTGAGATTGGAGAAATACAACCTCCTGATCCTCTCCTTGATTTCTCAGTGGCTTTTCATACCATCAATCATGGTATCCTTCCGGGCTGGCTCTGAGAAATTTTTTGGGGGGAGGGATGTCAGGTGAAGAGACATTGTTCTTCAGTGGTGTTCCTCTTTCCTAGTAAGGTTGATTCCAGTCAATGGAGTGGGAGAAAGAAAGATCTGCTTGGAACTCTCTCCTGTGAAACACATTAGAATCTTTCTTCTCTCCACTTTCCTTTAATCTACATGAAACTGCTGGGAGAGGTCATTTACTGAAAGGAGATTAGGTATCTATGTTGATATCTAGTTATATACAGATATCATCAAACAGATGATGCCATAGAAGTGTTGACTTGGTGGTTAGAATTTTTCAGAGAAGGAATAAATATCTGACTTTTTCATAGATGGAACAGCTTTGAGTCTGTAAGCCAATGACCTTAGGACATCATCATCTTTGGCTCTGAATTAAGACTATGCGTTCCTGCTCAGAGGTGGGAGGTAAATTGGCAGTCCTACTGATCTCAAAGCTTTTGCTCAAGTAGCTGGTGACAACTATGAAAGGAAGGGCTATTGCCCAATTAGGGCAAATTAGGAAATCTCTGCTCATAGTCACCCACTGCCCCAGTCACCTTTACTTTGGATTACTGTAATTCACGCTACATGAGGCTGCTTTGAAAAACATTCAAAAGCTACCGCTGCTGCAAAATGCAGCAATCTAGGCAAGTATTATACGTCAATGACTACACTGCTTCAGGACCTGCATTGGCTGCCAGTTAGCTTCTGGAGGGATTCAAGGTGCTGACTGTCACCTTTAACATCTTCCATCATTCTCCATGTCTATTTGAGATTGCTATCTGATGAAATCTAACCAATGGGCGTTTTCAGTCGTTGTCCCCACAATTTAAAACTCCTTGCCTATAGAGATCTGCGCTACACTTTCCTTTTGGATTTCAGAAAAATTGTTAAGACCTGGCTTTCCCAGAAGGAAGGCATGCTTTGAAAACAGTATAAGAATGCATTTATGGACATATGATTTTGTATGGTTTTTTTATTTCTTATGTGTTGAAATTTTTCTTATTTTTCTATGAATGTTTTGTTTTTATTGAGAAGTTCCTTTCATGATGTCCCTGACTGTTAGCTGCTCTGAGCCTTTAGGAATGAACAGCATACATATCACCAAGTACAAATACCAACTGACAATCATTTGCTTAGTGATCGTCTGAAGTTACAATGGCACGGAAAACAGCAACTTATGACTGTTTTTCAGTTACGACCGTTGCAGCGCCCCCCTGGTCACATGATCAAAATCTGCCCGCTTGGCAACTGGCATGTATTTCTGACGGTTTGCAGTATCCTGGGGTCATTGATCATCTTTTGCAACCTTCTGACAAGCAAAGCCAATGGGGAAACCAGATTTACTTAACAACCGTGTTACTAACAACTGCAGTGATTCACTTAACAACTCTGGCAAGAAAGGGCATAAAACGGGGCAAAACTCAGTTATCAACTGTCTTGCTTAGCAATGGAAATCTGGGCTCAATTGTGATTATATGCCAAGGACTACCTGTATCAGCATGTATTTATTTACCTATTTAATAGCTGCCCATCTTGTATCAAACACTGGATGACTCACAATTATCTGAAGGGTATATCATTTTACGAGGAGCAGTTGTATTCCACCATTACTTACCTCGCTCAGTCTCTTCTTCATCTATGATCTCATGGACATCTGCCACCCCATCTTCCTCCTCATCTTCGCCATCATCATCCACAATCACAACAAAGTCATCACCATTCTCTGTCTCACTAAACACAAGGGAAGGAGGGAGTGTATCACCATTTATCTATCATCTTCTGCGGACCTCCCAGCTGTATACCACGAAGCCCTGTCTTCATGAAGTCCACTTCTCCTACGTCTCTTTAGTTCTCTCCTCCTACGTCCTGCTGCCACAAACCTAGACAAAAATCTATATCCACACACAATGGCAGGCTTAGATTCTTGCCAAAAATATCACTATACCATAATCTCCATATCAAGGAATCAAGAAACTGCTTGAATTCTTACCTGTCTTCTTCACCATTTTCACCACCTTCCCCCATCAGGTAGTACTGAAGTGGATTGGGCCACAGGTCTTCTTTAATGATCTAAAGAAAACAGAAGAGTGTGACAGGTAAAAGGGCATAAGGATGCAACAAGCATTTTAGAAGTGTGGCCCACCAGTTCTGACAATGGTGGGTGCTGATGCTTGAGCAACATTTGGGGAGCAAGTTCTCATCAATGGTATGCAGTATAGTCTCACCTCGGCAATGCGATCTCCTGCAGGAAAGCTATGGTCACAGAACCAACTGAAGAAGCTGCGGCCCATTTCGAAGTTCTTCTGGCCATGAGCTAGTGGGTCCTGGCCACGCCACCAGCGAATTGGTGTAGAATGAGAAACTAATCTCCCTAGGAAAGGATAGGAGAAAACCATACAGCTGTAAACATGTGCATGTCGAATCTGACCTTTGATCCCTCAAAACACTGTCCCCTTATGCATACCAGAGGAACCACACTGGAATTCCTTCACAATGACCTCATTCTGGAAATAGGGATTGCTGCTGAAGTAGAACTTGATCTTGCAGCCCGACTTTGCATGGGTGAAATCCACAACCTATGTATCAAAGAATGCCATAATCAAAACACTAGCAAGGTACTGTCAAGAGGAGTGTTACAGAATAGATCACTTTGAACTCCGAAGATGCCAGCCATAGTTTCTGGAAAAATGTCAGGATGCAAATAATTACTGTACAGCTTATTAGCCTGAGAGTTCATCACCACTGGATTAATACTAGCTGGGAAAGCCTGCACCAACAAGAGTAGCAAGATAGAGTTTATTACCACCCTTGACCTACTATAGGGACTTTCAAGTGGAAAGAATTCAGAAATTTCAACAGCAGTTTAATTGCTTTCACCAATAAATTCAATTTCAAGTTAGTTTCTAAGCATAACTTTGTTAAAATCACCTGCAGATTGGTCATATAACTCAAAATGTCCTCATCCCGGTCATTGATCATGGCTGAAAGCTGAGGATGGTTGAGAAACTGCAAAGTTAATGTCAAGGAGAAAAAAAAAACCTCACAGTATTCAAAACTTTTCAAAAAGTTATAATGCAAACAAGAGATTCTAAACCTATATGCAACACTGCCACGTATACGTTCTGCCATTGAAAGAACCCAAACTCCACCCGTTTACTTTCCCCAGTGTTTCCTTGAGTATAGCCCCTAATGAAATATTTTACAAAGGAAGGATGTGGTATTAGTCCATTGATATATGGATTAATGACCAACTCAGCATAACAGAGCTTCAAAATGTTCTTTCAAGTTCTTTGCAATACTGGACAGTGTTGTATTTCCCTCTCATTTCTAGCAACCCTTTCCCAACCAGCTAGCAGCCGTGACAGGATACAGCAGTGACCCAGAAACCGGGGATGTTTTGGATGATGACGTTACGCCGCTCCAGATGTGGGCGCCGCATGTGACTGAACTTTGCTTTGAGCTGGGCAAAGGCACGGTTGGCCTGCTGATTTACAGCTTCCAGTTCCAGCTGCACAGCCTCCAGGGCTTCCAAGTACTGCTCAGTTTTGCGAGTGGGTTGCTGTTTGCCCCCTTCTTCCTCTTCCTCCTCCTCCTCGTCGTCGTCGTCGTCCTCCTCCTCCTCTTCCTCCCCCACCGAGATGACGGAGCACTCATCCTCTGCTGCTTCAGCTGCTACCTCGGCAGCCCTGCGCCTCTCCTTGGCGTCCTTCCTCTTTCTCTTGGTCTCCCGGCCGTCCTCATAGTCATCGCTCACAGTGGCGGCGGCGGCGGCGGCGGGGGCAGCTTCCGCGTTCCTCCGCTTCAGCCTGGCAGTCTCCACGCCCCCCGCTGCGGTTCCTTGTTCCTCGTCGGAGGACGCCTCCCGGTCGCCCCCTGCGCGGCCGTACCGAGTCCCCAACGCCTGCCCCGAAGCGCTTCGCTCCCCGACCGCTGGGGCGGTTTCGCGCACCCCCTGCTGGCCGGCCGTTTCCAGGCTACTCGGTTTTGCTGCGGAGCTCGCGGGCGCCTCCTGCTGGTTGAGGACCTCAAAGCTCCCGCCGCCCCAAGCCGTCATTTCGGCCAGAGCTTGGGCTGCCTCAGTCTCCTTCTGCAGTTGACAAGCCGGGTCTAAGCGCCGCTGCTTAGGGGACGGGGGCCCCCAGTCCTCGCCGCCCTCGCTCATGGTAATTCAACTCCGATCCCAACGACCGATCAAAATCCGAAAGGGGCGGGCAAAAAGCCGCGAGTCTGCCCAACCGTCGGTGGCACGACAGGAGGAGAAGGAGGGTGGGGGAAGGGCGCAAGGGAAACGGCCTCTTCCAACTGCCTAAGCGCGAGAATCCTGCGCAGCTTCTCCTGATTGGCCGGCGGCGATCGAGGTCGGGCCACTGGGAGAGAAGCTGCCTCGCTCATTTGGCTGATCCCAACGCGGATTGGCTGGCTCCGGGAAGCAATCGAAGAAAAGATCCCGCCTTCTTTTAACCCCACGTGGGAGGAGTAAGGTTTGATAGGCCCAAGGTTTCCCGATTTCATTCGTTCGTGGTCGGTTGGCGTGCTTCCCTTTTACCGACCTTGTTTCGGTCGAGTCAGTCTCAGAAGAAACAGTGACGCGGTCGTCCCCGGGGGTGATCGTCCGAGTGGCGCATGCGCAGCAACATTTCGGACGCTCTTCACCTCTTGGGGCATGCGCTCTGAGAGACGAGTGGCGCTATCTGTCTAGCATATGCCGAGTGGCTAACCAGGGAATAGGTCGTGGTGGGTTTTACAGGGGTCCTCAACCTTGGCACCTTTAAGACTTGTGGACTTCAACTCCCAGAATTCCTCAGCCAGCGTTGCTGGCTGAGGAATTCTGGGAGTTGAAGTCCACAAGTCTTAAAGGTGCCAAGGTTGAGGACCCCTGGTTTAGAGCAAAAGGTGGAGGGCAGCGTTTACGCTCCCCTTACAAGATAGCAATATGCGTCGTCAGAGATAGCAACGCCCGGAATTATCAGCGGGCGCCTCCCTACGCCTCCTGTGCGTGGTGTGCTCGCATAGATTGACGGGCGGGAGATTCAGAAACCATTTCGCCAGCAACGTGCATGCTAATTTAAAGCATTATAACTGCCGGATGATATGTGGATGGATGTCCCCTTAAATTGCATGAGAAGCGGGGTAGGCAAATTCGTCTGCTCCTTTTTTTACGACAGCTAAATGAACAGAACATCCAGAATCCGATAATAATACCATCGGGCGTTGACAAAAATCTCATCAGTCAATTGCGAAAGGCAGCTTTACCTGGAAGAGGTTACATCCTGCGACGATAGTTTAAAACCATTAAATAATAACATCTGCCTATTCTGAGGCTTTGGGAAAGGGTCAGTAGGTGAATAAAATTACCAAATCCAATCTAATCGTGGCTGACTAGGCAACTACCCGCCATAGTAATAATTGCCAAAGGAGCAAGGATAAGTGAAGCTTGTGGCATTCATGCTTTGCTTCCCAGCTTCTTAGAAACGTTTCCCATTTTATCCCATTTTCACTTCATTCTACTCTTTATTGTCTTCTGATGTCCTTTATAGAGCCTTGCTTTGTTTAATGCAGGTAGTCCTCAATTTACGACCACTATAGAGCCCAAAATTTATGTTGCTGAGACATTGAGTTTTGCTCCATTTTACAACTTTTCTTTCCACATTTGTTAAGTGAATCACTGCAATTGTTAAACTAGGAACATTGCTAAGTGAATCTGACTTCCCCATTGACTTTGCTTGTCAGAAGGTCGCAAAGGGTGATCATGTGACCATGGGACACTGCAACTGTCATGTGAATCAGTTGCCAAGCATCCAGCAAAGTGTGACAAACGGTCATAAGTCACTTTTTTCAATGCTGTTGTAACTTTGCACGGTCACTAAATGAACTATAAGTCAAGGATTACCTGTACAATGTTACAGGTAGTCCTTGCTAATTGACTGCCTTATGCCTTAAGTTGTGTTAGCAGATACAATGGTGGAAAAAACCTTTTACTATCAAATCTTGTATTTACAATCGTCACAGCATCCTGTGGTGATGTGATCACCATTAACATGCTTGTCAGCTGGCTTGCGACAAGCAGAGTCAAAGTAGAAGTAAAATTGCAAGTCACAGTCATGATTTTTTTTGCTTAGTTACTATGCTGCTTCACTTGATGTTTTAACAGGAAGTAAGGATGTAAGCCTATTGCAGTGCTGTAATTTTCCATCTAGTGACCAGGCACTTGCCAGTCTTAATTGTAGTTGCTAAGTAAGGACTACCTATAATTTAGCTTCCAGACCAGGAGAACTAAGTCTGGACTACTTGGGTAACTTACCATTTACAAAAAAAGCATATATTTTTTTTTAAAAAAACATGTCCAGCCAGAAATATATATATATATAAAAATACCCAAGAAAAAAAATTCATCAGGGTCTTCACAACCATCTTGACCCCAGATGTGGGAGAAATCCAGGTCTTCAGTGACTAATGGACCATTTAAGGCAGCAGTCCTCAACCTTTCCAGGTCTGGACTGGCGGTTGTGGCCGCTGGGCAGAGAGGGGATGGTTTTGTGTGCATGTGTGGTGCGTGTGCCACTTGCACAGGTGCAGCTTCATGTGCTCACACACTAATCCGCTGCCTGAATGGCCTGGTTCCTAATGGACCCTGGCTCAGCACTAGAGTGCAGCCCAGAGGTTGGGGGCCCCTGATTTAAGGGTGGGAGCCATATATATCTCCAGGAGGAAGTTGTTCCAGAACATATGCATTGTAATAGAAAAAACACATTTGCCTTCATTCATGAGAAAAAACATACTTCCTTGATTTGTAATATGACATTTAACTGAAGGGACCAGAGCGTGAACACTCTGTCCAATCATACTGGATGAGCAGAAACAATTGGAGATAAGTGCTACTTCGAATAGCCTCGTCCTATGCTATAATCTATAATGGGCTTTATACGTCATGATCAGCATCTTGAATTGTACTCAATTCAAGCCAACGTAACCTATGCAACTTGGAAACAATGAAGGCACATGAGCATAGTTATAAGCCTCCTTTACTGCCTGGACCTCTGAATCATAAACTAGTTGTAATTTCTGGATCTCTTCAAGGGTGGCCTCATGTACAGCACATTGCAATAGTCCAATCATAAGATGACTAGGGCATGAGTGATTATCTGAAGGATATTCTGGTCAAGAAAAGGGCACAGCTGGCACCACGATGGACGTATACAAAGGGCCTTCTGGCCACAGATGCCACCTACTCTTTAAGCAGTAGCTGTGTGTCCAGCAGGACCTCTAAATTAATGTGCAACCCCATCCAAGACCAAAGATGAAAACCAGAGGCCCAAACAATCACAGCCACTCAGTCTTGAGCCAGTTTGTTCCTCCCTTTACCTGCACAGCCTGGGGTTGAGATGGGTGTCATAAGCATACTGGTGATATGTTTATGGAGATTCTCAATCATCCATGTCATGGTTGTCCCAAAGGTGGTTTTTTTTTAAGTAACGACTTCCTTAGTTTTTTCTTGAAAATGTTTTCCTTCTCATCCAAGAAGCTGCTACTGAATGGTGGGGAATGGATGGATTTATATTCTTTGCAGCCATCTAGTTGATAACTGCAAAGAATATAACAAACAGATAGAGCAAAAAATACAAATCAAAATATAAATATAAAAACAACCAGTGCTAATGACCAGATGACTGCAAAGAATATAAATCCTTCCATTCCCCACCATCCGTCAGAACTGAAGAAGCTTCTTGGGTGAGAAGCAAAATGTTTTCAAGAAAAAACTAAGGAAGTTCAATTGCCTTTTGAAAAAAAACACCTTTGGGATATATACTGGCGATCCTGAACTTTTACCTTCAGATCACCTTATGGAGTGTTTTCATAGAGATGTTAAACAGAAGAAGCAAGAGTCTTACTCTGAGGCCCCTCATGCGTGAGGGGATGCAGGTGCAAACTCCCTCTACTAGAACTGACCACTAATGAAGGAGATGAGACACTGCAACAAAGAGCCCTCCACCAGAAAATTCACAACCAGTTCAGAAGGATACTGTGGTCAACATTATCCAAGGTTGCTAAGAGATGAACAAGCACAAAGATGGACACACCATCCTCATCCCGTTTCCACCAGAAATCAACAAGTGCAACTAATGTCTCAGCCCTGTACTCTGGCTTGAAGCCCAACTGAAATGGGTCCCAAGAATTATTGTAGTTTTTGGCATGAAGTTTGGACTGTGCAAACATAGGATGCTCTGAAGGTTTTCCATTGTAGTACATAATTAGTACTGCAATTAGATTCAGGAAAAGAATGATAATTAGAAAATGCAAAAAGCCATACTTTCAGCTTATGCCACCTCTAGCAAGAAGGTCATTAGAAACAGAACTGGGAGATTTCTTTAGCTGTTCAGCTGTGTTGGATTGTAATCTCCTGAAACCACAGCCAACATAAAGTCCCATGGAGAACCCTGGGCACCAACCTACATCATGAATTCTACAAGAAGCAGCAAGAATTTATTGTATTGATGAATAAGAATAGGATGACCTACAGGCTGATAATAGGCATTTCCTATGACTGAGTTGTTCTCCATTTTTAAATTTCATGGCATGAAATTGATTGCCTTCAATCCTATTATTGCCTTTGTACCCAAGTCATCACCAGCCATTAGATTTCCAACATAATGGTGATAAATTCAAACAGTTTTTATATATCTGGTTGATGCTTTTGCTAGAATAAGGAAGAAAATGCTACTTTAACGTAGGATGAGTTAGGTTTCTCTCACCCATGGGCTGGGAGTGAGATAAAGGCAATGTCATGGGAATGTGGCAGTTAGTCCAGAATGCAGCCGCGCGAGCGGTGATGGGAGTGACTCGTCGCTCCCATGTAACGCCGCTGTTGCGCGAGCTGCACTGGCTGCCGGTGGCTTTCCGGGTGCGCTTCAAGGTGTTGATTATCATCTTCAAAGCGCTCCATGGCATCGGACCTGGTTATCTCCGAGACNACTGGCCTAAGGGTTATCTTAATTTGGTTTTAAAATAATTTTAAAAAGAAAAGGCCAATAATTTAATATTCTATTTTAATTACATTTTAAAATTAGTATTTTTGTATTATGTACCTGTTTTAGATGGCTGTAAGCCGCCCTGAGTCCGCTGGGAGAAGGGCGGGGTAGAAATTTAATAAATAAATAAATAAAT